ATCTCCCAATCATATACTTTATGGGGTGTTTATTTGTATAAAATGCTTAAAAACTGCAGGTTCTCAAGACAAAACAAAATGACTTAAAAACACTATGTAGAAAAAAAACAAGTGTGATGCAAGAAAGAACAAGATTTGAAAACCAAGTTGAAATTTAGAAGAGTGAAGAGCATACACTTAACTGCTAAAATAGAGCTGTAATATCTTAAAAGCCCTTAGAGAAATAAATAGATAATTGCCTCCATGACCAAAACAAAATGAACAGGCCATCAGGAAAACTACAGCTGGAGGACCACCAATGAAAAATCCTTCTCAGTGATGACTTACCATATTTTTCCATGTATAAGACTATACTTTTGTCTAGACTAAAAATTGAAGGTTGTCTTATACACGGAGGTAAACTGAGGAGAGAACAAAAACAAGTGGAGGGGAAAGCAGGGATCAAAGTGATCCTGCAGCACTTTGATCCCTTTCCCCCTACATTTGCTAAACCCCACTTAGATTTCTTAATTTTGGATTAGAAAATTGGGGGGGGGCATCTTATACATGGAGGCGTCTTATACATAGAAAAATATGGTAGTTACTAGCTGTAACAGACTTCATGGGAGAGAGGAACTGAAGAGTGGCTTCTGGATATGATCTCTAACTCTGAGGACTAACCTAGATCAATGGTTCCTAACCTTTTCTTTGTATGTGTGGAATTGGTAAAAGCACTCCTTAAATATATCACTTAACTTGAAAGCCCTATTAGGGTTGGTATAAGTTGGTTCCACTGGACAACACAACACACACAAACACACATCTTGGATTAACTGAACTTTCAAGACCATTTTCAAAAATATCTCTGTGTAAAATATATCCAAAATGGAGGTTCACCCCAGTAACACCAGGGCATCCCTTTCCACAAAGAGACATAATCAGAATATTAGCCTAGATAGTCCATGCTACTAAGGGTAGCTGTGCCCATGGTGATAAAATATACTTTGACATGTAATAAATGATTTGGTTAGCTCTTCAAGTTCACCCTGATATGTGTTACCATTTAGAAGACATTGTGAAGTTAAGGGGCAGAGGTTTTGTATACTATCTTGGAATCTTCCTATTAGAGATCATTTTTTATTTCACATATACTTGTCTAGAAATACAACAGCAGAAATATATGAGATAATGGAGAGAAAATTAGGTTATACTTGTAATCCACTGGTGTTGTGGTTTGGGTCGCATCATCTGAACCTGTCATCTAATTATTTTGCTTTAACCTCTCCCTAAATGTGGTTGGATTGATGTTGGACACTCACAGTACAAGTGAAAAGATATTGAAAGCAATAAAACAAAATAGCTTGGCTGGGTAGAACACATTTTTCTGCATCAGTTCTTATTATGTAACTGCATGGATTCTCACTCCTGCTCCTGCTCTGATAGCTACCTCTGTTCCTTTTAATTAGGGCAGATCTTGAAAATTTTGATATTTTGAACTGTAACTCCCACAACCCCAAGCCACCATGAGAAATACAAGTTTTCCATGGTACACTACTTGCCTGGGATTTAATTCTGCTGAACTCAGTGAGGTATTGCATTTATTTTTACATGTTGGTTCTTTTTTATGACAATTGTATGCTTGTCAAGGAGGTACAAATTAGAATGTGTTGCACCCTCATGCCTAAATGTTGAGCATGTAAATCTTGTGTCAGTTTTGATGCTCTCTTTAATAAGATTCTGATATCAAAATGTCTTTATATAAATCTATAATAAGATTGGCCACACCTGGAATGTAGTCGACATTTCTCTAAAAGCATAATGCAAATGTGGGAAATATGAAGAAAAAGCAATCCAGATGATCAAAGGGATGGAAATATTGTCTTACTGACCTGTCTTTCTAAATTAATCTGAGGTGTTAAAGGTATAATAATCATGTATTAGATGAAGAAAATGGGGAAAAATCTGTCATCTTTCTCTTGCCGTCCTAGAATTTGAGATCCTCCAGTGTAGATGAATGCCAGGAGATTCAACATAAATAAAATGAAATATTTCTTTAAACACTACATCAGTAAATACAGGATGTAGTAATGTTTACAACTTTAAAAGCAGATGAGACAATTTCATGGAGCATATGATTAATGATCCCTAGTCAAGGTGGCTTATATAATGATGCTTGACATTATTAGAAGGATCACTAGGTCAAAACCTTCCATTCCCTGATTTTTCTGAGTCAAAACCAGAAACAAAGGCTGGGCCCCTGTACAACAGTAGCAAAATTATATGTATGCATGTATATGTGCATGAGAGACCAAGGCTATATTACTTTCTCACAATACCTTCTAAACATCTGTAACACACATATACGTATCCCTTTATGCTGAGCTGATAAACCCGGTCATAATTCGGAAGTGGGGAAGGCCAGTACATACAATGGCTGAACTCCTGTTTTGCGACTCCATATGTGCAATGCAACACTGCAGCCAGGGAAAATCACAGGAGGGCAAATGAGCTCTTCACAAAGCACTTCCGGATATGTGTCATGTAGCAGTCACAATGGGAACCAAATGATTGGTTCAGATTTCACAATGCTACCTTCCTGCCTGGGCATAACCCCCCCATACTTCCATAGGAGTAAGTTTATGCTATGTCAAAATGAACATAGTTACACTTCCCAAAGTAAAATGTTGACTTCTTCCACCACTTTGCATCCCTGAAGTTTGTTTCTCTGTCTGAAGATTCAGAGAAGTATGGCAATTCTCTGGAGCTTCAGCTGGCACCTGAGGCCTGGCAACCTTTGTCAGCGCACCTCTGCATATCAGTTGCAGAGGGTCCTGCCTGTGGGTCCCCCAGACGAACCTAGTTGACCACTGTGGGAGAAGAGTACAGCACTTTATAGTCCTTGATCTGATTCTGCATTTTAGCTCCCTGTGTCAAGATGTGAAACTTTGTGTGTATAGAGTTAAAATAATTAAGGGGAGTGTGAACAAAGTAGCCCTGAAAATGAAAGTGCTTTTAAAAATGAGGCTTGAACTACAGTTTACTAATGTCATTGCAAAACAAGTTCTCCAGCCATATAAAGTCACTGCACCATGACTTTCCTGACAGTTGAACATGTTTTATACATGCTAACAAAGTGTAACCAAAGTGTAACTAAAGGAAAAAATTGAAAGCATAGCGAAATAAGTAGAATGTTTTTATATTGTAATGTGTTAATATTTTATTTATTAATCTTAAATATTTTTATCCTGCTGTTCTCCTGATAAATGAGGGCCATGTGTGTAAGTGGGGATGTAGATATTTGCAAGTTAATGCTCAGGTGTGAGAGAAAATGTCCCCAAAATTCTTTCCTCTACTCTGATCGTTTTCTGAATTCTTATTTTTTTTAAAAAATATAGTATTTCTTACATATATGAGATTATATGCTTACATATATGAGATTAGTGCTAAATCATTCTATCACCTTATTTGTTGGATCACTGTTATTATCTTTTCCCATATTTATCCTCCATAAAAGGATTGACAGAGGCAGGGCCAGAGGAAGGAGGGAAGGAAAGAAGAGGGCCTGAACTCCTGAATCAGTCCTCAGTCCCTGTGTGAGCACTGGCTGTAATTTCAAATGTAATACAAACTGTGAATCAAATTTCAGGAAAGCTGAATTGCTTCGAATTCTAGTGTAGTCACACCCTTGCTTGAGCAAATATTCCTACTTTCAGTCTTCCCTCCTCTCCAGCCTTCATTTCTAAAAGACGTTTTCAATATTACCTTTATACTTTTCATTTGACAGTGCTGTTTGTTTTTTTAAAGTTCTCTGGTTATTTGAGGAGAATGACATTCTTTTGTTTGTGCAAGCACGCTATTCAGAGAAACACAAACTAAATTTTGGTTATTGCTGTTCATGTCACATAGGATGGAGAAGACATTTCACACAGATACTTTAAAGGACAGGGGTAAAAACATGGAAACCTTTGTTAGTGAACAACCAATTCTTTCCTCATCACCTTTTTCAGTTTATGCTGTCAAATATATGAAGAACTTTAAAAAAAAGTTAAAGCTTCTATTATGAAAAAAAGCTGGCACAAAAACAAAATTATAGGCTACTACAGGGATCTTTTATTATCTCTGTCAGTTTCATTTTGAATGAAGGAATTCTTGTTTCTTTGGAAGAATGAAGCCTATTTATTTGCTTCTGTTGTATTAAGTTGGTCAACCAAATGCTGAGTTCTGCTGAATCATGCAGGCTTCCACTTGCTCAGGGATCACATCCATTGGTCAAATGCAAATTGGTTATCTGTGTTGATGCACTATTGTGTTTTGTAAAAGTATCCCATATTTTCTAGAAAGAGAAGACAGGAATATTGACATTCAGTAATTATTTGTCAAATTGATGGGTTGGTTTGGCAGTCAACCTTCTAGCAGAACAGTATTTTAGCTTTCATTCTATTGATAAAACATACTTCCCTAGCAAAGTAATCTGGGCTTGTATTTGTGTAATGAAGACACTCTTTTAAACATTTTACCTAGTCCAACTTCCTGTTTCTCCTTGTGGCCATCCGCATACCTATGAAGAGCCTACAAACGGGGCACAAGGGCAGTAGTCCACTTGAATATCTGCTGGATTTATTGTCATCTTCTGATCCTGTATTATACAGGTGGAAAGGTTGTTGCAAAATTGACGAAGTTTTTTCCAGTGCCTTCTAACTGAAGTGTTATTTGAGCTGGGATCTTGTTGGTTTAAAGTACATAATATAGGTTGTCACAATTATGAATGGATTTACTGCATGCAGTTCATTGCCATCTAAGTGAGCTTTCTTATTGCAAGACTTAAAAAGTAAATCATTCCAGGGGTAGTGCATCATACTGAAACTTGTTTGGACATAAGGGGATATCTGATAGAATGTGATAGTTGAAAAACAGTGATGGAAAATATCTCATGTGCCTTGTAGCATGCTGGATATTTGTAACTCTGTATGTAGAATTCTAGCGATAGAAATGAACATAATCCTGTTTTTCTTCTCTTGTAGGTTCAATGGACCATCTGTCTTTCAGAAGGACCCTAATGGATATCATCTGCATTTATTAAACCCTGTCTCCTTTTCTTCTGAGGGGTTTCTTGGCTTCATGCTCTATCCTAATAATGACTGAATTGTCAGAAGGATTTAACTGACAAGGAACTTGTATAGTCTTCAAATGAATTTTTCTGTCGATCTTTTTGACTCTCCCAAAGAGAAGCATGTTTAGTGGCTTAGCATAGGTAGAGAAGACAGGACTTTCAGCCAAGCTGTGGGAAAAGTGGCCTCTTGAAATCTGAAAATGAGTACACCACTGGTTCCCAACAAGTCATGTTATCATTTATTACAGGGTAACAGAAATGAGATGAAAAATAACAATGAACACATGGTGATGGTAGGGGACCCCAATGCCAACCAAATCACACCTGAGGTGAGAACCTCCACAGGGGACAGAAGGACAAATGACATGTCTAAGGAGACAAGATGTTTTAATATAGGGGATCCAGAAAATACCACACAGCTGGATTCAGAGAGAAACAGACTTCAGAATACAACTGGTCTATCAGAGTTTCGGTTGCCTTCTACCACCACCAGGGAATTGCATAAGGATTATAAGAGTGATGGAGTCAAGGACATTTCGAAGTTGGTTCCTATTAGCAGAGGACACAGTTTGTCCAATTTGAGGATTAGTACAAATGATACCTTTTCAGTTGTTCTTTCCAAAAGTGATGCTGATCTCATTCAGCATGCGTCGAGGGATAAAACGCCAAGAAGAATAGAGACAGAAGGCATCAAACGCCTGTCTTTGGGGAGATCAAGGAAACTTACAGCTAAAACAGAAGCTTTTGGGAAAGAATTTGTTGGCCATGTATCAGGGAAACGCTTGCTCTCTGCTTCCCTGGATTCCATTGACATCTCACATCATTTGGCTGGGGAGCCCGACAAATGTCGGGAAGCATCGGCAGACCATTTTTTAGGCATGGTGTTCCATCCAACTGATAGCGCCTCAGAGGGAAATGTTGTGCGTTACTCTAAACTTTCATCTACCTCAGGAATGAACAAAACAAACGTCATAGCAACACAAGTGGGTATGGAGGGTGCACCAAACTTTAACAAACAGAGCACTCCACATCCTGCTCACGCTGATCCACGTGTAAACGCTAAATCCAATGAGATTTTGAGATCAGAAGCACAATTAGATCATCAGGGTGATAAGAGAGGGAGAATGGAGTTGAGAAGTCCACAGTCAAAGACCACGGGTCAGCAAAAAATTGACCAGATGATGCCGGTTGAATTTCTCAGATGTCAGAAAGAGGAAAGTAATGGAGTGGGGCAGAATAAAAAGGATTGCGGGTCTGAAGTACATAGAGTAAAAACAGTTCTTTTGCAAGAGTCTTGCAAAGGTGATGATCCATGCTTAAACGAGGGGCTTGACTGTTCCAGTAGCAGGTTGGTAAGTGGTACTAATAACTTGCTAGGTTTAAGAAGAGGAAGTAATCATAGTGACAGCAGGGCAACAAACCAAGTCATTGATGAGGGCATAGTAGAAAAGGAGATAGATTCTGGATTGCCTTTTGCTGATGACAAACGCAGAGACAGCCTGACACATTTGAATAGTAATGAAAATAAGCAAATGGCCCTCAAAGGCCATGGTGAAACTGCTGCAGAAATCAAAACTAATTTGGAGCATTCAAAAGGGCTTAGTACAGAAGATGCATTAAATGATCATTTTGACATCCAGGACATTGATTTAGAGACCACAGGATTTTCAGCAGAGAGCAAAAAGGCTGTAATGGTAAAGAAACATCTTTCAAACGACACGGCAGACAGCTATAAGATACCAGGAAGGACTGATACTTTTTTATGTGCCCCCACTCCTTTGCGTCCCGTGGTGACCATGAATGCTGCACCATCAAGCAACAGTTTGAAGGATCTCTGTGCACTTCACGTTGATAAGCCGCCGTCATCTGCAGTCCTACCTCCTCTTGATGGTACACAATTGCTCAGCCTATCCCCTAAAGTGCCTAACAAGACTGCCTGTAACAGTGGCATCCCCAAACCTATCCTTATACATTCCAAGGGCTCCCATCCTGCCAAGGAAGATGAAGAAGGCAACTGGACTGAGAAGCCTGAAGACAAGATGGAGGCAAAACCAGACATCCCAAAGCCCAAGCATGTGAGACCTAAAATCATCACTTACATTAGGAGAAACCCCCAGGCGATAAACCAGATGGACCATACATTTGCCCCACCTGGATTGCCCTATGTGGCCCCTGCTTGTGCAATGCCAGTGGCAACAATGGAGCAGAAGACTTCAAATGATGGAGAAATTAAACCAGGCAGCGTCCTGTATGACAAGTTTAAACCCGACTTGCAGAAGTCTCGGATTTACAGTTCTGGCCTGGTGGTATCTGGCATTAAATCCTCAGGTCATCATTTTGGCCAAATGGGTGACAAATTTCTCCAGGAGGTAAGTCTATTGCATGTATGCATGTATGTGTGAGAACACAAAAAAGATAATATTTATTTACGCAGCGTGTTGTTAGTCTTTGGAACTCCTTGCCAGATGGTGCAGAAGAAACACAAAAGTGTTTGTCAGGCACCTTTGTTTAAAGCAAGTTTCGAAATGGGGATTGCAGACTCAATGGTGTAGCTTTCAGATTTCACCCATGGTAGTGTGGATAGACATGACTTTCCCAATCTTGTTAGAGAAAAGGTTGCCAGTCACTCAGCATCCTTCAACCTATACAGTATTGACACACATGGCTTCTTTTTGCCTGGAAACAGAGCCATACTGAAACATGGTGAACTCCACCTCAGAGAGGTTGGCATAAAATGTAGTTTGCAGACTACATTGGCTGACTGCAGCCAAATGTTTGTTTGAAGGAAACTGTTGTCCACAATTCACAGTGTTGTTTAGATAGTATTAAATGTCCTGGCTTGGCTCTGGTTGGCTTATTCAACATTTCTTTCACAGTTCAACAAAAATAGCTGTCTCGTAAAGGTATCACCCACCCTTACTGTCAGATTGTATAAAAGGACCATATGGCTTTTCTTTTTCTTTTCTGTTGGGCTATGGAAGATACTATGGAAGTTATGGAATATAGTATGCACCAGAGACATTATATTGCACCTTTCTACAACTGCTTTTGAGCCTGCACTAATTATCTGTGTTATTTTGCTAAATGCTGTTTCATTCAGCTTTCCTGTGCCTATTCTTGCTATTCTGTTCTTGGTGTTACTAAGGGTGTGATCAGACAGGTGTTTAGCCTGCTGTTTGGGGCCACTGCGGGGATGGGTTGATTGTCTTTTTGACAGTGATCACAGAGTGTAATTGATGGAGTGAATCAAATGATCACCAGAACATTCCTACCCACACTTTTTTGGCCCTTGTTAGGGGCTTCTACTTTTTGTGAGAGTAGGATGGCTGTGGGTAGATGATATCATGTGGTGTGGCCTGATGGCACATCTGCGATCACTCACAGTTTCCTGGCTGCTGCTTCCAAGCCTCCAAGGGTACTGATTCATGTTTCAAATGACTCCCAGGTAGGGTTGCCAGATACATGTGTACAAAAAGGAGGACATGGAAAGCCAAAAAGGAGGACAAAGGAGGACGTATTGTGGGGCCTCTGTGCACGGGGGGGGGCATGCCGCTTTTTGAATTAGGTATTGGGGAGCTCTTTGCTCATGGGGCAATACATTGAACCCACTCAGTCTTGAAAAGTCAAGACTGCGAAAGTTACATTTTTGGTCTACAAAACTCAGAACCCACAGGCCACTGTGTTTTCTTGTTTTAAAAATGTTTATTGATTTTTTAAATAAAAGCATAATAAAGTGAAATAAAAAGTTTAAAAGGTTGTGTAACAGATTTGAAACACTTTATAAAAACCAGGAAAAAAACAGAAGGCGTGGATTTCTCTCAGCTTGAGAAATGCAAAGGGTGGAGAAAATGGATTTGCGCGCGTGCGCACACACAGACACACACACACACAAAGATACAAAAGCCAGACATTTTAAAGTTTTTTTTGTTTTGTCTGCCGGACAGAGGACATGACCCTAAAAAGTAAGACATGTCCTCGTGTTGCCGGACATCTGGCAGCCCTACTCCCAGGGCCTCTCCAATATTTAACACCCCAAATATTTTTCAAAATTGGAAGCAGACATCCATCTACTTCCAGTTTCATTTTCTTCACACACACCCTTCTTTTTGTGCATGGGGGGTCCTGTACAGTCCTTCCAAGTTTACTAGAAACAGAAATTGCCCTGAAGATATGTCCAAGTTGCCCAAGTGTGACATGGGGCTTTATAAATGCTGGGATTTTGAATGGAGCCTGCAAAACTGTGAAACACACTGGCCATCAGCAAAACTCTTTTCAGAAATTATGAGGCAAAATCTGTGTTTTCTCTCCTACTTAGTAACATAGCTGCATTATGCAGTAACTGAGTAAAATGCTGTAATAAGGACATTACTGAGAAGTCATAAGATGTGGTTGTACACATGGAATTTTAAAACAACCAAATCATTCCAAAAAATAGAATTTGGGGAGAAATTGTTACGTAATAAGGACATATATTTGATTTTTATCTTTAGCTAAGCAATATTTATTTCCTTTAAGAAGACAATAAAGAGAAGAGGATTGGTTAAGAGACAGACGTCTTTCAAGTTAGAGAAAACAGTTTATATTTATATGAAATTGTTTGCCCTGCTACCTAGAAAGATAAGAAGCACACTTGCCGCCTTGCATAGAGAAACCACACTGATTAAAAATGTATTAAGTGGGATTGCGGTCCTCTTTCCTCCTTTGTAAAAGAATCATGTACTTCTGCATTCACATCTAATAAAACACAATTATACAAGGTGTATAATCAGATGTTGTTAAAATATGTCAATTAGAGAGGAAGATGGAAATATGTATATGCAGAAACAGTTTTTTTTTTCTCCCCAGTGGGAAATGGTCTTCTGAACTAAAATAAACCACCTTCAACTGTAAATATATAAAAAGAGCCATCTGGGATCAGACCATTCATCTACTTCAACATTCTGTCCCCAAAGTGGCCAGATAGCTGTTTATGAGAAACCCAAAAGCAGGATAAATGGGCAACAGCATCACCTCCCTCTAGCAACAGACACACAGAGCCACTTTTCTTTTGATTGCCCCATCCCCCATTATTCAGCCAGTTCCCTTTTTAAGCTACCCAAGTTGGTGGCCATCAAGACATCTTATAGTAGCCAGTTCCACAGTTTAACTAAACATCCATTTGGGAGCAAAAGAACTATTTCTAAAAATGTTAGCATAACATTGTGAAATGCGTTGTGATGGCCATTTCAGACTATATATAATGTTGCAAGCCATTGTGGCATAGTATATGGAGTGTCAAGGTAAGAGGAGACCTGGGTTCAAATCACCAGCCAGGTAGACTCACTGGGTATGGCAGTGATAGAAGTACTCCTTAATATCTTACATACCTTGAAAATCCTATCAGGATCTCCATGAATTGGATGTGATTTGATGACATGTAATACTGTTATTAAGGAACATGGTGGTGCTGCGGGTTAAATCGCAGAAGCCTCTGTGCTGCACAGTCAGAAGACCAGCAGTTGTAAGATCGAATCCACGCAACGGAGTGAGCCCCCGTCGCTTGTCCCAGTTCCTGCCAACCTAGCCATTCGAAAGCATGTGAAAATGCAAGTAGATAAATAATTACCACCATGGTGGGAAGGTAATGGCGTTCCGTGTCTAGTCACACTGGCCACGTGACCACGGAAACTCTTCAGACAAACACTGGCTCTATGGCTTGGAAATGGGGATGAGCACCACGCCCTAGAGTCGGGCATGACTGGACTAAATGTCAAGGGGAACCTTGACCTTTTACCTAAGACTGTAATAAAAATCAGTGTAGTAGTGGTGGTGGTGGTGGTGGTGGATGAAACATACCTCAGTGGTCCTCCATTGTCACTGGGGCTTTGGGAACAATATCAAGAAATTTCAAACAATATTATAAGCAGTTGTAGATTCCAGGGAAAACATCAACAACAGAGCTACACAAAACAGCAATATTGGGAACTGTGTGCGTGTGCGCGTGTGTGCATGTGTGCGTGCGTGCATGTGTGCGTGTGCGTGCGTGCGTGCTGTTCCCATTATTGTTCCCAATATATATGAACCACAGGTCCAGAGAACAGCAGCCAGATTATTGAGTGGCGTTAAGAAACATTGACACATTTCTCCCACCCTAGCCACTCTGTGACATTGACACATTTCTCCCACCCTAGCCACCCCGTGCTGTGCCAGCTTCAAGGTGTTGGTGTTAACTTATAAAGCCCTAACCAGTTCAGGACCTCACTACCTGAGAGAACACCTCCTCCCAATGAGATCTGATTGCCCTATACAATCTTCCCAGGCCGGGTGGTTGAGAGTATTGACTCTGAGAGAGGCCTGGAAAGAGAGAACAAAAAATTAGGCCTTCTCAGCGGTTGCTCCTCAGCTTTGGAATAACCGCCCACCCGAAATCCGACCGGTCCCTTCACAGGGAATCTAAAGCGACTATTAAAAACATGGCTTTTTCAACAAGCCTTCCCAGACCTTACACCTTAATTACAACACCTAACGTTGAGAGTATTGACTCTGAGAGAGGCCTGGAAAGAGAGAACAAAAAATTAGGCCTTCTCAGCGGTTGCTCCTCAGCTTTGGAATAACCGCCCACCCGAAATCCGACCGGTCCCTTCACAGGGAATCTAAAGCGACTATTAAAAACATGGCTTTTTCAACAAGCCTTCCCTGACCTTACACCTTAATTACAACACCTAATTACAGTGAGTGGTGTCAACATTCATACTAACAGTCCTGTTGTCTTGCTCTAAATTGTTTTATATTATTTCAATTATTATTATTTAAATTGTTGGTTGTTTTATCTTTATTTTGATTTTATATTGCTTTGTTCATTGTTTTGATGTGTATATGTTTCATTTGTTTGCTATGTGAACCGCCCAGGATGGCTTAGTAGCCAGATGGGCGGTATCGAAGCCGACTAAATAAAATAAATCTACTACATTGATATTTAACAGATACTTAGGTTTTTGGTTAAAATTTGTATCTGTTAGGTAATAGTCCATGTTTTTATAGTTTTGATTGATTGTGCCTGGTATTTTTGAAGTAATTACTTTGCACCTCCTTATAATGCCAGGCGGATGGATCACATCTTGCCTTTGAAGTCCATAGGTTTTCAAGACGTAAGGTGGGTTTTCGATGATGGAGGGGAAAATGCATGTGAAATATGGGTGCAGTTTAAACATGTGCATAACTAAACTGCATAATTTGATAAATGTGTTAATAATAACTACCTGTGTACCATCAAGCAGATTCCAGATTATTGTCACCCTTGAGATACAAAGCACTCAGAAGTAATTTACCAGAGCTGCCTTCTGGGGGTGCTCTGGGACCACATAGTTTGTCCAAGGCCACAAAAGCTGGCTCTTCTCCTACAAGAAACAGTGGAGAATCACACTCTTGACCCCCCGGCTCTGTAGCCAGGTAATCCAGCTCAGTGAGTGAAAAAATCTGTCCCGAAATATGTACATTTTGGGGAAATATATGAATTTTCATGTGGGAAGAAAAAAGTCTCGTAGGCTAATACAGAATTGGGGCAGGATGAGAATACTGGTAGGAATACATAAAAAATGAGACTGGCAGATTTTTTACATCCCTAGTTTATAATGTTAACTTTATTTACATATAATTACGTTTTTAAAAGCTGGAATTAATTGGTGAAAGATCTAAGCATGAAACAAAGATGATGCAGATAAAAAGCCTAGATCCAGAGCTCACTATGTTGTCTTGCATATTTAGTATAAAGATTGTTGTGACAGAAACAGGAAACAAAATATAAAAAAACCTCCTCTCACATAAACAAATGATTTACATTCTTGAAGGCATAAAGCCAGAGTTAAAACATTGTAGCTATAAGGATCAAAAGGCTTATGGCATCAATTAAATGGCATTGTCTAAATATATATCTAAATTGTTGAAAATGCAGTGACATGACACAACAACGTGTTGTAATTTTGCAACAAAGTTAATTAAGCAGCCCAGGTAGTTTTTCCTGTTTAGCTCCTGGCAACTCTTGTGATTAATTTTTAAAATAAATTTGGCTCTTAGAAACATTTTTTTAAAAATCAGAAGCTCAACAGTGGTTCATGAAAGCTATTTGGCACCAACTGGATCCTTTTCCACAGTGCTCATTCAGAGGGGAATTGTGCGTTAGCAAATTAAATGATCAGTAACCTCCTTAATCTGAATAACTAGCAGGGCACTGCTGTCTCTAAATGCCTCCTCATAGTTAATATCAGATCTTTGCTTTCTTTTGCTTGCTTGCCTCTTGGCAAGGGTGCCCAGTCTTTTCACAAGGGTTCAAAAGGTGGCTTGCAAAAATGTAGAGATCCTCTTATCTTTCTCTAGCTGCCTGCAGGATACTTTGAGATTGTAACCATTTGGTGGGATTATATGAAAGTCAAAGCAGCACGCTAGTTTTATTTTCATCTCTCTCACAAGCTTTCTCCATATGGTAACAATGTGGTATTGATCACACCGTAACAATTCATTGATGCAGAGGAGATGCAAGTGTCTCAGAAATAGGATAGAACAATTTGTATTTTGCTGGATGTGGCCCAAACCTATATAAGATTTCACCTTGCACAGCCACCCCATTCATTTAACTGAGTGAGTAGCTCCCCACTGTGTCTGCCTTCCCCAACTTGGACTAAAATGGAGCAGCTGCTGTAAACATGGAGAGTTTGCTTTTGTTTTGTCTTTGGCATTCTGTGGAGAGAGTCACAAATTACATTCCCTAACTTCAACCAATTTTAGACAAATGCACCCCAACACATGCAAGTGCACGTGGCATGTTTCTAAATGGCAGTAGCTAAGCTGAATTGGGAGGGGTAGAAAGGAGGGAGAGGAGGGAAACAGGATCCTCCGTCCCCACCCAGGTTTTGAGGACCGTTGTGTCTTGCTTGCAGATCGGTGACACTGGTGACATTGGCGGACTTCACTGACAAATGAGAAAAGGAAATAAGTTTAGTCTTGGGCTCCGAACTGGTGGTCTAGAGAATATTGGCCTCTGCACCAGTATCATCATATGCCATTCAGTCAATTCTGACTTAGGTTGACCCTTTTCAGGGCTTTCTAGCTAGAGAGTACTCAGAAGTGGCTTACCATTCTCTTTTCCTCAGGGCATCCTGAGGCTGTGCAGCTTGCTCAAGGCCACACAGGCTCTTTTCCCTGGAATCAAACTCCCAACTTCTGGCTCCACAGCCAGAAATCTAACTCAATGAGCTATCCAGCCAACAGGGTACCAATACACCCTAGATTACTTTTTTAAAAAAATATTCCAGGGTAAGAAATGTTTCCAGTATAAGCTACAACTAAACAATGCACTTTATGTCTAATCATCAGGTGCAAATACTTTTGCTTATGTAGCCAAAGTATCACAATCCATGGTTTGTAGAAGTAGGAAAAATCATTAGCGGAGGGAGCACTGAGGTCCTCTCCCATATGGGACAGGGCAAGGTGCCTGCCACAGGCTACAGAGAATGAAGGGCATCAATTATGGGCCCTCACCACTATACAGAGCCTTGCTGGTTGAAACTGCGGGCACACAATTCTCTAGAGGTGGCCAGTCCCTAAATGTCTGGCTCTGGGGAGAATCCTTCTTCAGAGCAAGCACTGTGGGCATGGTGGCCTGGGAGACTGCCTGTTCTGGTGGTACCATCTACTCAGAACAATTTGTTCAAGTTCTTTGGGTGCAGCAGTACTTCCTTCTGTGAAGTTAACTGATCTTACAAATATTTGATTTTGGCTGGACGGTATCCAATGCTTGTGTGCAAGTATGGTTGAAATCCGTGGATCTCGCTTCCAACTACTGTAATGTTGCATGCAGAGATTATGTATAAACGCATGAATTGTACCCCTAAATCATATGCATAAACATACACACACAGCATTGTCATTTTGCTGAAAATATCTGTACAGTATTGCAGATATTTTCCATTTTTATTACTTTGGTTGGAATGGGGCAAGGAAGCAACCATTAATCATTTATATGACTACAGTTTCATTCAGGACAACATATATAAGATTAAATTTTCTGTCTCCTTCACTGCATGTACTTTTAAAACATTACCTTTTAACTCATTTCTCATTAATCAAAACATTTCAATATCCAATATATTATTGTTCAGATGTTTTGCACTGAATGCTGTATCTCCATAAAACAATGAGCAACAAACTCATTTAAGAATAGGGCTCTCTTCCTGTATAAAAATAATTTAAAAGTTGATTAACATCCTTGCTTCATAATGCAATCTTTATAATATCTACTCAGAACTAAGACCTGTTGGCTTACTCCCAGGTAAGTCTATAAAGGATTACATCTTAGTGTAAAGACACATCTCTATCCCACTGAATCAAAAACCACTGATTTTCAGAACTGGGAGAGGGAAGAGGAGGAAAAAGACAAAAAAATGAAATAATTAAACCCTTCCAACTTCCCATCCTGGCTCCATTGTCCCTCACCCAATAAGACTGCTGGATTAAGATTTCTGAGTATTTTTGCACAATTGGGGTGGGGGGGAAGAGACAGATAAACCCTCCTCCATCCCATATCCATGGACTCCGTGCACTCTGTCTCTGCAATGGTGGGGTTTACTAGAAATGGGGAAAGGTAAATAACCAGTCCAAGTATTCTCTCTACTCCTGAGGTAATTGTTGGGAGCATAGTTAACAAAATGGCCTCAGTCCAATTCAGTCCTTAGTCTCTTTTAAGGTAGGGGCTTGCAATAGAGAGGGCTCATTGCAACCTGGACATGGTCTGGGCCTCATGGTAATCAGAGATGGAGGTTGTTGCTACTGTTGATGCTGCCTCCACTCTTTTAACCTTTTCCACCTCCAGCATTGCCCCCGAGTTGGTGTGGGGCTGACCTGGCCTGGAATAGGCTGCCAGTGTCAGTGGTGTAGTAGTTCATGGGGAGCCAAGCAGGGGGCCTATCCACGGATCCTTATGATATACATCATCTGAGTTATTTTTGGAGTCCCACACCTCCTCTGCTCTTGGGGTCTACTCCCATTCTTTTTCAGCATCTTCCTGTGCCTCCTACTCCTCTGGCACCAAGGAGTCTCCTTCAGAGCCCAAGTGTCCCTTGTGTTCCTCCAACCTTCCTCCTCCTTCTTCTAAGGCCTTCCTTTGTGGCCCGTAGCTGCAGAGTGGCATCCGCCCTTGCCCTTCACCAGGTGGCTCTCCCTGTCTGGTTGCTACAGGTCCAGTATGCATCCCATATTCAGCAGCCACTGGGTCCAGAGCCCCTGTCAGGATCCTTGGGGTGAGGGCAGATGGCATGCCACAGATGACCCCCCCACACACACACACAGTATTCTTCTAAACGAATGAGTTTCCAGGTAATTTGAGTGGAATAGCCACCATTGGGTCTGTTACTGTAGTAATAGTGCTTGTGTATTATTAGATCAGTCTGCCACATATCTATAGAAACCATTACATTTTTCACTTCCGTACAGAGCCCAGACAAATATTCATCCTGGAATACATTGTCCTCCATGCCTTATAAACTGCTGCACTTGCCTATATATTTCAGTTCTCAGAAAATATCTCATGAAATAATGTATTTTCTGTTTCTGTTTGCACAGGTTGGGGAAAGGCCAGGGAAAGAAGAATTTTCTCCTCCACCTTATACCCACTATGAGGTCCCTCCAAGCTTTTATCGCTCTGCAATGATCCTGAAGCCTCAGCTAGGACTTGGTGCTGTCTCCAGGTTACCCTCTGCCAAAAGCAGGATCTTGATTGCAAGTCAAAGGGCTTCAACCAGCTGCATCCATCCACAGGGGCCAATAGCCACTTCGCCCCCACTTTTCCATCCTGATGCTTCAGGTAACAAACTTCACCATCTAACTTGTAATTGCTAGTGCTCCCGTGTTATGTTGTCTGGAAAATAATTTCGAAGGAAGGAAGGAAGGAAGGTTGCCCCATGTCACTCCTGTCACTCACAGTCTGGTTCTCATTTGCAGGAGGTTCTCATTTGCATGAGCCTATGAGAGGAGTGGAGGGGCAGGGAGAATATAAGCAGAGAGAAAGAAGTAGAGAGAGGGAGATACTGTAGTATACCAAAACACTCTAATCCCAGCAGTTAAGGCTCTGATCCTCTATTTCACTAATGCCCAGAGTCCTGTACTTGCATTTTTGATGTGTGGGACAATCAGTAGTACTGGTTGTTTGTTCAGGGCAGTGACCAGGGGAGAGTGGTTCTAAATGGTTTTATTTTCTTCAGCCACTTCCTCCAGGACTTGCATTCAGGCCTTAGCATAGAATGGGTGAACTGTATCTGAAATAATTATGCAAATCTTGTACTCAATCTACATTTCAATTTGTTTCAACATACTGAAGATCAACCTCCATAACGTTTATTGCTCTGAGTTTTATTGATTTTTAGTGATACCAGATATATTTTTTTCCAGAGAACTTGCTGCTGTTCCATTGTTTTCAGAACAGGCACATTATTTCCATTTCTAGAGTTTCACTTGTTTTCCCTTCTGACCACTGAGGTGGAAACTGTTTTTAAATCTGCTGTATTGCATCTTTGTTATTCTGTTCTGCTTTTCTCTGAAGATTAGACACTTTCCTTTTCATCTATCATTCCTGACATGTATAAAAATGAAATATTGTAGATATTGTTGGATCCAGAGTTCATTATTTTAAACATATGTTTCATTGAAACCAATGGGACTTTGATTGTTCATGAAGTCTGCTCTACTCAAGCCATTGGTTCAACCTATTTCCAATGGGACTTTGATTGTTCATGAAGTCTGTTCTACTCAAGCCATTGGTTCAAACTATTTCAATGTTCTTCAGATATGTTACAATTCAGTCTAATACATTTCTGTTCAGAAGTAACGTCTATTATTGGAATCTATCTATCTTATCGGAAGTTATGAAGGACCAATCCTTGCAAAGGGCAACAGAAAGATGGGACTTATTTTATAAATGGACTGAATTAACAGGTAGTAGCTGAATATATATAGTGAAATGTGAACCTTATACATAAGGCAGAAAAGAGTAAATAGAATGATTTTGGATTTGATATGGCAATAGGTATAGATTGGATATTAGTATGCTATGATTTCCCCTCTCCCTCACAAATCCCCTTCCCTCACAAATCCTAACCCCCATGTCCCTATGTCACCCTTTATGTAAAAAATAAAATAAAATAATTAAAAAAAATCTTATTAGGCAGAGGAATGCCAATTATAGTGTTAAATGGGAGTTTCTATCCCGCCTTTCTCCCTGAAAGGACCAAAGGCGATTTTCAATCCCAGGAAAGATTGGAGCCTTGGTATGGCATTAGTATTGTCTTGCTGTTCTGGGTGTACAAAGAGCCAACTGAGAATTAGATCTTTTTTCTTCTTCTGTTGACTGATGAAGACTGCTTAGGAGACTGGAGCGTTTGTTGCTTGATGTGATTAAATCTTATTAGGCAGAGGAATGTCCATTATAGTCTTAAATGGGAGTGGGGGGGGGGGAAACTGTGGCTCCCCTGCCATCCTCAACATTGATCATAGCATTTGGAACTAGAGTCTGACAACATCTGAAAGGCCATAGGTGCTCAGCCTAGTATATGATTTTTCCCCCCAGCCTAAAAATAGACTTCCATTGTTAACACCAAACTTAAAATCCTGTCATTTAACAGTGAAGGTCAAAACATTAGCTTGGTAATTAGAAGCCACTTCTATTTTTTCTTTTCACAGTTGTAACTCTTTCAAGCTTTGTACATGAGCTAGCAGGCTGGCAGGTGGAACTCATCTTTACATCCCAGTGGTCAATCACAAAACAAATTAAAATTAGTTCACAACATGCAGTGGAAAGGAAAGCTCATGCAAGTGTTTTCTCTCTCTTAAACTAGCTCTGCTTCTAACATTATGTGAATTGCATCATATAGCCTGACTTTGACTTGTTAACAGGTCTTTCCTGTCTTTAATCACATGTTTTGGGAAAAGATCATAAAGATCAGTAATCAGTAGTTTTGAGATAATCTAGATCCAGCTGTTGGTGGTGCCATTTTATTTTCTGGAGAGTTTTAGAAATACAGACCATATATGCAGGTATTGTTTGGCTATTTATGTCTGGTAGTCAATGGGTAATTCTACCTGTTTAAGCCCAACATTGATAAGCTGTGATATAAACCTTGAAGGAGGAGCCCATCATGCCTTCAAACTGACTGCTTTTTGAAGAGCTGAACAAACCTCTCAAAGGGAACTCAACCCAGAAAGAGATCATTCTCTGTGCTTTGTTTGAGTGCTTATTAGCTGGCTTATGTGGTGAAATCAATCCCCATGCTTTCTCCAGAGTTTTGAAATGTTATTTAAAATAGGTTAAATAAGAAAGAAGCTTTAGTTTATGAATTATTTAAAAGGCATGAAACAAATTATTGCAGTGTTTGCGAGCCATTTGTGACCCCTGATATTTTTGGAGTTGCTATACAGTGGCTCTGTGCTAATAATAAAGCAGAGAAAAGCTACTTTTGGGGGACTGTATATCCCAGCTCAAGCTAAGGGTCGGTCAAAGACATGTTACTGCCTTGAGAAACACATGGTGTTTGCAGTGGCCCAAATCAAGGTGCATAGTACTCACATCCAAATAAGTTATTTTGGTATCTGTGGTAGAAAACTCATAAGCAGCTTTCTCCCTGGCTAGCAACAGTGATCAATTAAATAACTAACCTTTGGGCACATTTTCATGACCATCTAGTCACAATGATTTAAATAGTATTTCCATGCTGTCAAGTCAATTTCAAACTATGACGACCCTTTCCAGGGTTTACTGGGTAGAGAATAAACAGAGGTGGTTTACCACTCCCTTTGGGCAGTATAAGAAATTTTCAGCCAATTTCAAAATACTAAATAGGTAAATAATCAAAGATGTTCCATATTTTTGGAGTTGCTATACAGTGGCTCTGTGCTAATAATAAAGCAGAGAAAAGCTACTTTTGGGGGACTGTATATCCCAGCTCAAGCTAAGGGTCGGTCAAAGACATGTTACTGCCTTGAGAAACACATGGTGTTTGCAGTGGCCCAAATCAAGATGCATAGTACTAACATCCAAATAAGTTATTTTGGTATCTATGGTAGAAAACTCATAAGAAGCTTTCTCCCTGGCTAAACAACAGTGATCAATTAAATAACTAACCTTTGGGCACATGTTCATGACCATCTAGTCACAATGATTTAAATAGTATTTCCATGCTGTCAAGTCAATTTCAAACTATGACGACCCTTTCCAGGGTTTACTGGGTAGAGAATAAACAGAGGTGGTTTACCACTCCCTTTGGGCAGTATAAAAAATTTTCAGACAATTTCAAAATACTAAATAGGTAAATAATCAAAGATGTTCCAGCAGTCGATACAAGGGGGGCGGGGAGATAAGAGGGAATACTTAAGTAGCAATGGAATCCTCGCATAAACAAATATATTTTCAGCAAATGTTTTTAGAAGCTGAATATTGCCTCTGGCTCAGGTTGTTATTGGAATTCTGCTCCAATGTGTAGTATAAGTTATATTTGTGATGACCAAATCTCCCTTAAAAGAGTATGGCATTCAGCCAGGGAGTCTCTTAGGTCCCAAATCTACCACTTTGTACCGAGGTACGTCCTCAAGCCTCAGTAGTGCATAGCATCTGTGCCTTAGACAAGCCTGTTCTTTGAAAAGTACTTGACTTTAATCAGTACTTTGCAAGTAATTAAACATGTATAAGTTATATTTGTGATGACCAAATCTCCCTTAAAAGAGTATGGCATTCAGCCAGGGAGTCTCTTAGGTCCCAAATCTACCACTTTGTACCGAGGTACGTCCTCAAGCCTCAGTAGTGCATAGCATCTGTGCCTTAGACAAGCCTGTTCTTTGAAAAGTACTTGACTTTAATCAGTACTTTGCAAGTAATTAAACATGGACTTTGTGATTCCTCAGAACTCACAACAGCTCAGTTAAATAGGACTTCTCTATAGTAGCTAGTTAGTGGCCTTTCCACTCCTCTGGATTTAGCCTAACCTTGCTAGTCAATCAAAGATGTTCCAGCAGTCGATACAAGCGGGGTGGGGAGATAAGAGGGAATACTTACGTAGCAATGGCATGATCGCATAAAGAAATATACAGTATTTTCAGCAAATGTTTTTAGAAGCTGGATATTGCCTCTGGTTCAAGTTGTTATTGGAATTCTGCTATAATGTGTAGTGTAAGTTAAATTTGTGATGACCAAATCTCCCTTAAAAGAGTATGGCATTCAGCCAGGGAGTCTCTTAGGTCCCAAATCTACCACTTTGTACCCAGGTAAGTCCTCAAGCCTCAGTAGTGCATAGCTTCTGTACCTTAGACAAGTCTGACCTTTGAAAAGTACTTGACTTTAATCAGTACTTTGCAAGTATTTAAACATGGACTTTGTGATTCCTCAGAACTCACAACAGCTCAGTTAAATAGGACTTCTCTATAGTAGCTAGTTAGCGGCCTTTCCACTCCTCTGGATTTAGCCTAACCTTGCTAGTCCAAGAGACTAGTCCTCAATGAGATTTTTATAATTATTTTTATTAAGAAAATAAAGATTCATAGAAACAGTCATTTTGCATCAGCAGTAGCATAATAACAGGTTCAGAGGTTACAATATTTAAATAAAGCAGTTATTTCTTATTTAACAATAAGAAACTCTAAGATCTAAAGTTAAGAAAATAAAGATTCATAGAAACAGTCCTTTTGCATCAGCAGTAGCATAATAACAGGTTCAGAGGTTACAATAAAAGGTTCCCCTTGACATTTTTAGTCCCGTCGTTTCTGACTCTAGGGGGTGGTGCTCATCCCGTTTTCAAGTCGTAGAGCCAGCGCTTGTCCGAA